ATAGAATATGGAATAGGAAAGAATAGAATATAGAATAGGAAGGAATAGAATATAGAATAGCATATAGAATAGAACTGAACAGAACAAAATATTCTTTATTGGCCAAGTGTGATGGACACACAAGGAATTTGTCTGCAATGTAGAAGCCCTCAGGGTGCATACAAGCAACACGTGATAAATCACAATCACAGTCATCGTAAAAATAGACTCCTCCTCACAAATCATAACCTATAACACGCAGGGATAGTCACAGGATGCTAAATAAGCCATCAACAGAAATCATACTAGGACACTAATAAAACGATACGAATTGTAAGATACAAACACCAAAGCCATTGTCGTAAGAAGACCGCAAGGCAACTTCTCAGGGGCCATCGTGGGGAACCGATTCTCGTACCAAGAATCTGCTGAAACCCACCAGCAGATGGAAGGGCCGGTCTCGGTCCGGTTGAGGGAGGCCAGCCTGCATCCTCCCTGCACCCGCTTCCTCGGCTGACCACTTTAAGCCCTACTGACCTGCCCCTCCCCCCCAAAAAAGATGGAAGGGAAAAGCAGCATACCTTGTAAGGGGAGATATGAGTGTCCGAAGGAAAGGCTAACATCCCCATCACCTGCCGCACTTCGTCCAGCTGGCTCCCTTCGGCCTGGCTGAAATGTTTCCGTGCGTGTCTGAAATGCACGACAGGAGAGGAGAGGGTTTCCTTTGCAGGCCTCCTTCGCTCGCAGAGGCGTCTGGCTGGCTGCTTCTACCGCTGCACCGTGGAGAGGATCTTAACTTCCTGCACCTCTCTAGGGTTTGCCACTTGCACAGGGGCAGATGGGAAAGCGCTCCAGAGGGTGAACGTCACTGCCCCTCAGAGGATCATGGGATTGCCCTCTTCCCTCTTTGGAAGAGCCTTAGAGCTCCCACTGCCTCAGGAAAGTTCAAGACACCCTCAAAGATCCATCTCATCCTGGGCACCCCCCCCCCTTTTTTTTTGAACTATAACCATAATAATAAAAACAAGGACAAACAGGCTGAAAAACAGCTGCTATCCCAGGGCAGGAGCTCTGTTGAATTCTACTGTCTAGTGCAATCAATATTCATGCAATATCAGGGATTTTCAATCCAATTGTATAGAATGTGAAGGAGGTGTGTTTGTGTTCAAAGTCATAATGTACACTGAACATGGTGTACAATGGTGTGCAGTGACAATAAACTGATCTGCTTTGTTTATTATAAAATGCAAGTGTGCTGGCCCTAGGAATTCTGGGAGCAAACATCCCTCCTGATAATGAATCGATTTTATTCTCCGGAATAAAATTGGTCTTATTCTTCTGAGTACACCTCCTGTTTTATGTTGTTATAATGTACACAGTTTTTTGTAAGTTTGACTAACTGACTGACTGACTGACTGACTGACCTTCCTTCCTTCCTTCCTTCCTTCCTTCCTTCCTTCCTTCCTTCCTCCCTCCCTCCCTCCCTCCCTCCCTCCCTCCCTCCCTCCCTCCACTCCTGATTGGAAATCCCGTATAGCCTTAACTTTAATCCTAATTTTGTACTTGGGGCATTGTAGGCTATTTAGAATTAGTTGATTGGAGCAATATAACATGCTGTAAGAGTGCTGATAAATAAATTGCTCATGTACAGACTTGCACACTCCCCTGTCTTCCCTAATCCCTTGTGGGCCAACGTTAAATCTGATAGCTAATGCCTGTAACCTCAGAGTCCAATTGGACCAGGCCAAAACTCCATCTAATGTAGCAGAGAATGGCAACCCTGCAGATACGTTCAGGAAGCTCGCACGTTTACAGGCCTAAAGAGTAATAGGAGCAGCTTGAAAATCAAATCCCCCGTTAATATTTGCAACCCTCTTAAAGGCCATCTAAATTGATAGCTGCAACCACATCCGACGGCACAATACTTCCTTTTATCGACTGTGGCTCTCTGCGAGTTTCTACTGCTGTCACTGGGACACGTCTTCCTTTACTGCTCCCCCTCGGAGCTAAGAAACTCCAGTTTATAACGTCTCCTCAATTTTTATGGGTCTTCTCTGCCCTTTCTTTTTTCAGTCTGAACGATCCGTTTTGAGAGGGAATGACAGGAGCGGCAGCATCCACACCGTAGAGCATGATGACACTGGCAGTTCTATTTTCAGCTGCTTCCCAAGCGATTTCCAGCACGGCCCAGGACTGACTGTCTCCAGTTTCCATCTGACCGATCGATTTGATCTGGCCAGGATGGCTGCTCTGGGTCCCATCATCAAATACACCAATGGCACCTCCTGGGACTCAGTTGCAGCACCTGCTCTCTGGAATGAGGGCCCCCCTAAAACTCAAATGGCTCTCACCCTGATGGGGTTTCAAAGGGTCTCAAAGACCCCACTCTTCTTCCAGGTCTTTGAAGAGGATAATCAAGAGGATAATTCCTCTTTTTTATTCCTTGTCTCCTTCTTTCCTTCCTTCTTTCCTTGCCTGCCTCCCTCCCTCCCTCCCTTCTCACCCTCCCTTCCTCCTCCCTCCCTCCATCTTGCCTTCCTTCCTTCTGTGCCTGCCTCTCTTCCTTTCTTCCTTCTCATCCTCCCTTCCTCCTCCCTCCTTCCCTTCCTTCATCTCACCTTCCTTCCTTCTGTGCCTGCCTCCCTGCCTCTTTCCTTCCTTCTCACCCTCCCTTCCTCCATCTCGCCTTCCTTTCCTTTCCTTTTCTTTCCTTCATCTTGTCTTCCTTCCTTCCCTCCCTCCCTTTGTTGCTGACTGGAAGGCTCTTATAGCCTTTTTGCATTAAAAAAAATATGAACTTTTGATTTGTGGTTTTGAAGACAAGAAACCATTAGACAATGCAATCATTAGATAATTAGGAAAAGGAGAGCTTTTTTCCCGTAACCACAGAGTAAAAGGAAATTTTGTAATTGTACCGCATTTCTATTTGCAGCAAAGGAACCTGGAAGCTTCTTCTATTTCTCTTTTCTTTTTGCATTTGTCATTTTTTCCTCTTCCTCCCTTTCTTTACTTTGTATTAATTTTTGTTACTTTTTATCTTTTTCTAGAACTTTTATACAAACGTATATGGAAAATTCTCCTGAAGAAAACATCGCTACTTTGGTAACAATTATGAAAGAGCAGAAAGGTAATGTAGCATCTTTTAAAAACAACCTTTCTGTGCCCAATTCTGGCATGACTTTACATTCTCACTTTCCTACGCACACAGAGGTTGCCTCCTACCTTACAGCATCCAGTCTCTTGTTCTGTCGAATAAGCTCTATGAACTCCTGAATCCTTAGACTGAATTCCAGACAACTCTAAATTATAAAGGAAACAAATCTTAAGACATGCCATAGCAAGATTTAGACGATCTGTAATTTTATCTATGTTTATTTAAGTAACTTACCTCAAAAGCAATAAAACATCTGAATATATTTAGAACCAATATAAAAGTTAATGCCTATTAAATTTACTTCTGCAATTTGATATGCCACTTTATAACCAAATGCTTACTTAAAAAAAAATTTTTTTTATACGTCCACATTGAGTTTTGTTTTAAAACATTATTACAACAAGGTTTTATTTTCGCACGTTTGTTCAATTGTTTTGTTCGGTTTCCATCTGAAATGTTATATAGATATATACATTCAACGAATAATTCTCTCAGAAGCCTCTTCAAAAATTACCTTTAAGCTATTCCTAATGCTGTTTATTACAGATAACAGGTAATCAGAGTTGGAAGGGACCTTGTAGGTCATTTAGTCCAACCCCCCGCCCAAGCAGGAGACCCTGCACCATTTCTGACAGATGGCAGTCCAATCTCTTCCTGAAAGCCTCCAGTGATGATGCTCCCACAACTTCTGAAGGCAACTTCTGTTCCATGGGTTGATTGTTCTCACTGTCAGAAAGTTTCTCCTTATTTCCAGGTTGAATCTCTCCTTGGTCAGTTTCCGTCCATTGTTCCTTGTCTGGCCTTCGGGTGCTTTGGAAAATAGCTTGACCCCCTTCCTCCTCTCTGGGGCAGCCCCTCAAATACTGGAAGGCTGCCATCATGCCTCCCCTGGTCCTTCTCTTCCCTAGACTAGCCAGGCCCAGTTCCTGCAACCGTTCATTGTCCCCTCATCATCCTGGTTGCTCTTCTCTGCACTCTTTCTAGAGTCTCAACATCTTTTTTTATGGTGTGGTGACCGAAACTGGATGCAGGACTCGAGGTGTGGCCTTACTAAGGCTTTATAGAGTGGTATTAGTAGCTCATTTGATCTCGGTTGTATCCCTTCTGTTAATGCAGCTTAGGATTGCGTTGGCTTGTTTTGGCTGCTGCTGGCCCATCTTTAGTTGGTTGTCCACTAAGACTCCAAGATCCCTCTCCCAGTTCCTGCTATTGAGCCTGGTTTCTCTCTTTTCTCTCTTAGGTGGTCCTCACTTACTGACCACTCTTTCATTAACCAAAGTTATGACGGTGGAGCTAAATGTGTGGTCCTTAGGGCTCCGGCGGCCGCAGGGCCCATGTGACTGCGCGATCAAAATCTGGGCACTTAGCAACCGGTTCACACTCACGCGGCACGTAGGAAATGAGTTATTACAGTGCCTGCATGCGGTTGCATTATCTTCCTGTAAAGCAGGTTCTGCCACTCCCGGGACTTGGAACTCGTGGGGTTTTGGTGGTGGAAGAGAGAGAGAGAGAAAGAGACATGAATCAAGGCTCACTTTCGTCTGGATCTCACCCCGGCCTTACTTCTCGTGAGGAGCCAAAGCCACGCTCAGCTTCAGCCTTCTTGCCCACAAAACCACTTTAAACGGGGCCGCTGAGAGACGGGATATCCACAGAGCAAAGGAGGAGGAGTAAGGTTTGGCACTCCGTAGAGCTGGAAGGAGCCCCTTGGAGGTCTTCTAGTCCAGCCCCTCTGCTCAAAGCAGGAGACCCTGTACAATCTGAGTCCTCCTCGACATGCAACCACAACTGAGCCCAAAATTTCTGGTGTTAAATGAAACAGTCGTAGTGAATTTTGCCCTGTTTATAGCCTTTCTCGCCACAGTTGTCTTAAGCGAATTGCCGCAGCTGTTACATTTGCAACATGGTGGTCAAGTGGTTCTGGCTTCCCTATGGACTTGTGACCAGGAACACCGCTGCATGGTTTGAAAAGTGCTCGTAAGCCACGTCACATTGGATGGTCACCAAATGAACTGTTGTAAGTCGTGGCCTGCCTCTATTATGTTATTTTCCTCAACAGAAATCGGGTTGATTGACAAAAGTAATTATTCTCCTCTATCTTCTCCAGCTAAACGTCTTATGCCGAACAGGCGGTCCATCCTCTCCCTCGTAGGCTTGTACAATGTCCCTTTGCATTTTCAAAATAAGCTCACATGTTTTCAGAAATGCTTACTTTCCTCTTAGTTATAATTTAGTAAGCGTAGCCCACAAGTTAATAGCTTCACAATAATATATACAAGTTCGTTCGCGATACTTTTGCTGGAGTGTCCTATCCATATCTCCTCTGTTTTCTTTGTTACATAAAGCTTCTAAAACAAACACCTTGATTGACACCTGTCATTTCCCCACATTCAAGCCCATGACCAACCAAAACAACGTTCTCCAGCTACCTTGAAGTCCTTCATTTGTACCTTCATTTTCCTGAGCCTAGACTTGTTGTCATGGCACCAAGCTAAACAGGTCATGGTCTCTTGTCTTTCCAAGGATTCTTCTACTTCTTTGGCAGTTAGGAACATCTCGATATTTACCAAGTCCTGGAAAAGGAGGAAAGCACAATTATTCCCCTGAGAATCCGTGTCACTTGCGTTTATGGAAACATCACGAGAGGATCTAAGACTTTTTTGTCCAGGGCAGAACTCAGGGAACCGATAAAAGGAGAATATTTGTAGCTCAGGGTCGAAGTCAGAGTACGGCAAAGGGAGGGTGTGTGGAAGAGGGAAGGATGCGGTGTCCTTCAAAGGTGGATTTGAAGCCAATTGTCATGCCCCTGTCAGAGTCTGAATCCGAGGAAGACGAGCAGCTGACAGGGAGTGGGAGTGTGGCTCCGTTGGCTGTGGAGGAAGCTGGGGAAGGGCAAAGTCCGGCTGGGCGGAGCAGGGGAGAGTTAGAACAAGGGAGAGGGAGTTCAGAGGAAGACCCAGGCCCACCCCCTCTTCATCCTAGGGCACACAGGGAGGAACGGAGAAGGGAGCAACGTGGGTTGCGTGGCTTATGGGGGAGGAAAGGGCCCTGATTCCCTTCATTAGCCACACCTGGGAATGAGAGTTTAAAAGAGATGCATGCTGAGTGCAGTGTCTGCTGGGAGCAAATGTGAGTTTATCTTGTCTTGACTTTGGTTATCTGCATTCCTGGCGTCTTTCCAACCGTGTTGACTTATTGCTGTTCCTTCACATCTGGAATTCTTGCTCCTGCCCTGCTGGACTAATTACCTCATCTTGCCTTGATTGGACTTATAGTTACAGTTTTTGTTGACCATGTTTTGGACTTGAATCTCTGCAGACACAGGCTGTTTACCTGGGAGAGTTTTTCTCCAGCCCAGAAGGTAACCAGGACATCGGGGGCAAAGTTGGAGCTAATAAAGGGACTCCTACTGATTATCTGACTGGGTTGCCTTTGTGCCACGTCCCTTTGGGCCATCACACCAATCATGAATTGGCTAGAAATGTCAAGATGGAGATTTGGGTCACCTCATGAGTAAATGCCCGAAAGCTTTTGAGTTCAGGAAATTTCACAGCTCCCAAGAGCGCAGGTGATTAAGGAAAGCTCTAATATTGAACACTAAATTATTAAGTGTCATAATATTTGTTAATCTTCACAGATCAGTGGGCTCAGACAGCTTTTTTGGGGCTCTGGGACGGCTTGCTGACTTCACAACCCTGGAAAACACTCTGCAGATGGAGATGGTTGATAAGACCTCTCAGCCTGAACCAGGTGGCTCCTGCAGAACTAAGAATAAACGGCCGCAGAGAAGAACTCCTGCAATTTATAGCCGATTGCTTCCTGGCACATCCCAACTGCCTTGGGTATAAGACTGGCTGCAAACATATAATCCTGATACTCCCAGGGAGCAAGGAGCTAGTCCCTTGTCTTTCTACAATAACAAGAGCCCTGTTTTCAGCCGTGGGGTTATTTTCCCCTGCTCTCCCTCGTAAAACCTCTTTACTCCTCCGTCGGTCTTGAATGTCTGGCCCTTCTTTGAAGGATGGAAGAGGCAGGGTCATCGCTCTCTGCGCATTTCATGGCAGAGGAGGACAGAGATATTTGAGGGGGACAAAATATGGGGGAGACTGTGGAAATGTGATAAATGGAGCAAGATTGTTATGGGAGGAAACTGGGGCCATTACAGAAAAGATTCCCAGGATCGGAGAAGGATAACATGAGAAAAAGACTCAGAGTAACTCTGCCTTAATTATATACTTGTAAGTTGAATCGGAGAATTGTTTGAATGGGCTTTCAAGATTTCTAGTGTTATAATACCCGATTGCTGATAAAGACCCTTCCAAACATCCAAGGGGTTCCTGTCTCCACAAGAGGCTTGACAGATAAAAATTAAAAAGATACAGCCGCTTATTATTGCTGCGTTAAATAAAGGGGAAACAAAGGGCTCTGTGTTTTCTGAGGAAGGCCGCCCATTAGGAGGGAAATCTTAGATCAGTTCGGGCTGGAGTCATTTTTGAGTGGGGGGGGGGGGATCCAAGTCGTGCAGTCTTTGTACAATTCCAACCAGCAAATGCATATATAACCCACTTAAAGAGATGGCATCCGGCTGCAGGGACTAAAATACTGCCTCTGCCTACATTCTTTTAGCTCTAGTGACTAAGCCAAGATTATAAATTGCACATTAGAATTCCATTTGACTGAATAGTTTAAACATAACAGGAAATGAAGAGCTGTTTTCTGACTGCCCAGAATGAATTTGCCTGGGGCAAATGTTCTATTGCAAATGTTATTTGCTATTACATCTGTACAGAACACTGGGGGGTAGGGAACCTGAACGCAAAACAGATCAACTTTCAAAGAAAAACTATGGGGATCTTCCAATAAATCCACTTTGTGCCAGTATTCTTAAATGATTACTTTTGAGCTGTGGAAAACATTAGGACAAACCAATTAAGCAAGCTCAATCAATGAGTAACATTCACTGTATGGAAAAAGAGGATGCCATTCCAAAAATAATACAAATAAATTGATTCCAGCACAAACATCAAAATGTGCTTCATGCACAGGAAAGCAAGTTGTGCAGAAGGAACACGAGACAACTTGTTAAAAGTTATCTGAGCACCACAGGGTACAAAAATAAATAAAATTAAAAAGGACTTCAAGATAGGCCAGCTATTACTTCCTGCCACCCCATCTCAGGGTATCGATGAGAATTCTGCATTTGCTGTTCAGTAGAAAAACTTCATTGAGCCTAGAAACCATTAAAAAAAAAACATATAAGGGATTCTTGCTACTTTCAGGCAGCATCTAATAAATAGGGAAGGATAGCTCTTGTATGGCTGGCTCAGGGAATTCTGGGAGTGGAAGTCCACAACTCATAAAGGGGCCAGGGAATGGCTGGCTCAGGGAATTCTGGGAATTGAAGTCCACCAGTCATAAATGGGGCCACGCAGGACCCCCCACTTGGGCAATAGAGCCCCGCGACCACAACCGCCGCTCTTTGAAGCCGAGTACCAACCTCAATGCCGCTCTGCCTGGCTAATTTCACAGCAGTGTTGTAATAGCCGCACCGCAGGAGATGTTCCACCATCATGCGGTCCATCCGTTTTTTCTTCCACATGTTGGCGGCCGCAGGCTGGTCGCTGCTGTGTTCTTTAAGATGCTCGATTCTGCGCTTGCATAGTTTCGCGCTCTCGTCCTCCGCCTGGATCGACTCGACGGCCTGCCCGAGGGGAAAGCAGCCCTTCAATCCGATTTCTGAACGCAGAATTTCCTACTCCAGGCATAAAGCCACCAGGTGCGCTTGCAAAGCGAAGGGAGCAACGTGCGTTTGTACAACAAACACAACCCGTATAAAATCTAGCCTAGATTGGGAAGTGCTATCTAGTTAGAGAAACTACAGTCTGGTGTGTCAGAATTCTGGCAGTGACCCCCAATTAAATCCTGAGTTTCGAGCCAAACTTCCAAAACATCAAAAGGATTTATTGGGAGTGAACATGTCCGGCGCTGCCTGGGTGCAGCCGACCCTTGAGGCACATCATTCATTGTCACCCTTGGCCCTGGTTTTCCCTCCACCTCCCCGGGTGTATCATAATTCATATCCTCCAATGGGATACATCCATAGCCCAGAGTCATCAATCATGCTCTCCAGTTAGAATTTTGCATGGCAGAAACTTCGGTTACCTAGAAACTATCTTTGAAAAACTACGGAATGCACTTTCGGTTTCCAAGCAAAACCCTTTCCTCCCTTTTCGGTTGGCAACTCTAAAAAGACCCGAGAAATATTTTATGAGTTGACACAGCGATTCTCAACCTTGGCAACTTTTAAGATGAGTGGACTTCGGCTCCCAGAATTCCCCAGCCAGCATGGTGGCCTGGGGAATTCTGGGAGTTGCAGTGCACTCATCTTAAAGTTGCCAAGGTTGAGAATCATTGCTACATTGAACATCCTGGCCGTTTCTGTCTTCATTTTGTGAACATTTCTTTGTATATATGCTTGCAGCAGTGAAGGCGGAGGAAAAAAAAAAATCAATTGCTCTGCACCTGAGGTGCAAACATTTCATAGGGAAGCTAAGAATTCTTAGCCTAATGCAGATTATTGGAGTAATCAATAGCTTTCAACTTAGCTCTCTTATTCCCCCCCAGTTGCGGCCTCTGTGCAGAAGGAGAAAAACAATCACACCCTCCCCATCTCACACCACTTCATTGAAATGTGTTGTTTGTCGGATAATCCAGAATGAGTATGGCATGTTCAGGGGTTTCAAAGAATGCTCTGCCTTAAAGCCAGCGTAGAAAGGGGGAGGAACTTTTGGGCTGATGAGAGATGCATATAAATCCCTGCTTATTTTAACCACCAAGTCATTAAAAAGTGCATTCTAGAAAAGCAAAATAATCCTGGGGTTTCAAATCGCTTTTGCTCCTGTCGCTAAAAGACATTTGTAGCTCGGGGTTGACATGAGGGGTCCTCGGTGCTCTCTGAGCGTGCTTGTTTTTTTGCAGACGTTTCCTGACCCAACTAGGTAACATCGTCAGTGTTGTTAAGGAGTGCAGTTTTGCTGACACTTTATAAATTGACAACAAACACCACTCTTTACTAAAACTGATGGTGTTACTTAGCTAGGGTCATGAAACGTCTGCAAGAAAACAAGCAAGCCCAGAGAGCACCTAGGACCCCTCGCTTCTATCACGGAAAGTTTTCAAAAGATTGGACAACCGTTTGCTTGGGATGGAAGGAGGTCTCCTGCTTCGGGCAGGGGGTTGGACTAGAAGACCTCCAAGGTCCCTTCCTGCCCCAGGATGCTGTGATTTCTCTAGGAAATCCAAAATGGTTTCATTTTCATTCTTTTTCTACATGGCCTTTCCTAGGGCTGCGGCTATTCTTCAGATCCAAAGAAAAAAGGGACTCAGGTAAAACCTTAAAGTAGCTGCAGCTTCCCCTAGGATCACACACAGTAACTACACAATCCCAGGGAAACACATCTTTGAGTAGAAGGGAGGGGAGCAAACATCACACTTCCTTAAAGCAGCCAAGAGGCTCTGCAAATGCCCTGTTTTTCAGACTCAAGGTGCATGATGAACGCCGGTCTAGATTAATCCCAGAGGAATGTCCAAGCGTTCCCCTAGCACGGAAGATCCCACCAGCAGGAATTCTTTTGCTAGTAGAGGCATAGAGGCAGTGCCAATAAACAGGGATTTGTTAAAAAAAGTAAAACAAGGTTGAAGTTCTATAAACACCCTGAATTGCAAAGAGTGTCACTGCAGATCTTGCAAGATTTTGCTTATTCTTAAAACGTTTTTTAAGTTGTTGGTTTTTTTTTTAAAAAAACACACCTGTAAACTCAGGGACCTTCGCAGACATGAAACCTCTGATAGAATAGAATAGAATAGAATTCTTTATTGGCCAAATGTGATTGGACATACAAGGAATTTGTCTTTGGTGCAAATGCTCTCAGTGTACATAAAAGAAAAAATAAAATACATTCATCCAGAATCATAAGATACAACACATAGCAATAGTAATAGGATATACCAAATAAGCAATCAAGTCATACTAGGAAACTAAATAAAATAATATAAATTGTAAAGATATCAGAAACAAAGTTATAATCATAAATGGGAGGAGATAGGTAATAGGAAGGATGAGAAGAACAGTAATAAAACCACTTTGCAAATCGCTTGCTTCTTATTACTAAAAGGTTCCTTCACTTTGAGCAGTCCCCAAGATGATGCGCAATTGCCTCCAAAACTATGATCCTTCTCGTCTTGGAAAGTGAAAACATCATAAACTCCCAGAAGAAAATAGAACTGGGGGAAAAAAAAAATCAAAGAGCCCAAACAACGACCCGAGGGAGGAGGAGGAGGAGGTTACCTTCCGTTTCAGGACGCTGAGTTTTTCCACCACTCCGTCCAGGAGACTGACCACCGAATCCACAGCTGGGCAGCCGCTCAGGGTCTTCTCCAGCTCGGCCACCACCATGGTCACGTGGCTGGTTTCCCGATCGATGTTCTTCTGAGCAGCCCGGAACCGTTTGTTCAATGTTTCGTAAGGTACCTTCAAAAACAAACCCACCTTTTGTTGTCTATCGAAAACACTCCTCTGAGCCTGGTTTGTTATCTTCAAAGGGACAATTCAGATGCCACGGACTTATTTATTGATATATCCCCCTTTCCAGCAGAAACAGCTTAAGAGTTATCACGTTACTTGTAATTATGTTCGTGCTCACCCAGATATGTTTATGTTGGAAAGAGCAAGGATTAGAGAGAGACTTGGCACTGGCACCTGTGTTCTAGTTCTTCCAGTTATTATCTGAAATTGGCAGATAATAGGAAACGAGAAAACTAACCAAACTGCTTATCTATAGCCCCACTGGCTTAAAAAGCTTATCAATACAGCAATCCAGGTTTATGTCACTGGGAAGGTGGGGGGATAAGTAGCAACAGCCCTCCCCCCCTCCCCAGGTACTCAATGAATGTAGGTTTTTATATAAACAGTACTTTTGAAGATAGAAGGAAAAAGGCGAGTCACGTTTTCCCACAAGCCTGTGAACTGAAACGGAATACTCTTACTATCCGTTTAATGAATGCCCTGGGTAAATAAATATTTTTTTTTTTAAAAAAAACAACCTTCCTTCGCATACCAAAATACAACCAACTGGCAACACCTGCTGCCAGAATCCTTCCTCCCAGGATAAAAATAATAATAAATCATCATGCATCAGAATTTTGAAGCTTATCTAACTTGGCATGCCTTGGCATCACAATGGGATGGCATTACATCAAGGCAGAGAGGCAGGGCTCAGACACATTCTTGAATGTTTGATGGAAGGGAGAGCACAATTGCACTGAACTGTATGCCATTATTTTATATTAGGCTTGATTAAAGATCCAGTTAGATCAGAAGACACAACAGAACTACAGAACCTCTCCTGCAAAATGTTTGTCAATTGGGCATATGATCCAGATATTATTGTTAACCAGTTTGTTTACACATACACTTACCTACATAAAATCACAGATATGATCTTACTTACTGGAAGTGAATAAAGCAAGGCAACTATTAAAAAACCTAACCCATCTATGTACATATGTATGTACGTATGTATGTATGAAAAAGCCCCATGGTATCCATAAGCTTGCTTATAGCCAGATTAACTCTTGAGGTCAAAGTAAGAATCTTGCTCCTGGTGTATGTAGGCGTGTGTCTGTCTGTCTCTCTATATGTTTTTGTGTGTGTATGTGTAATTATATATATACTACACATACACACACATGCTAAATATAAATTGACAATGTTTCCAGAGATACTGATAGCTTTCCATTACCCTGCTTTATAATGGCGTAACCCAGCATAACATTTGATTATTTTAACACACTTTGTATTATCCCTTCAGAGCGCCCTAGAATAGATGCCATCCAGAGACCACACGCTGAAGGAACTGAAGGAACTTTAATCCGTGTCCTTTTCTATGCACTTCAGAGAAACCATTCAGTATTTAGAGATGTTTCAAATAGTTGGGATTCCATCGCACAAATCACAAGAATTGCATTTCACCGTCAGCTGCACTAAAACTAAAATAGGGATAAAACTCTTATGTAACTTGTGTGGTGTTTTTTTTAAAAAAAGCAAATCTATTTTAACCTACTTATTTTCTACTGATAACTTGAATTTTGTTTACTGTAATATATTAATGCTGGGAGCCATTTTGGGTGCTTTGTTTCTTTTAGAAATGAAGGCTCCAAATATAACTACAAACAGTAATTCAGAAATAAGTCCCATGTTTTCTTTTTTTATATTATCCAATTTCTGGACAGCTCTTATATGTGGAATCCCTAGAGTAACATATCGCAAAATCAAAATCAAAAGGTAAATATAGTCACTAGAAAGCCAACATAATGTACAAGATCCACATTTATATATTCCTGGGTTTCTGAGTAGAGTGAAATGTTTACAGTCTGGCTGATTGCATGCCTAAATAAAGGTAGCCTAAAGAAAATTAATTTTGTATAAACAGAAATGTTACTATTATAATTAAGAAAAAAAAACAAAGAGGGTTCAGTAGTTTGTTATTTCTCTAACCTCATAATCTCATCCCAAAGACCACAATAATTAGAAACAGGTAATTTCTGATTGTAAATATTATTCACACCCACAAATCATTTTGATAAAAATATTAAAGACACTTATTATCTGCATTCAATATTCTGAAAATCAGTCGCTGCTGGAGTTATGAATAATGATGAAGATCTTTAAAAATCTACTTAACATTTCTCTTCCTACTGTGTGGAGTAAATAGGCTATGCAGGATTGTGGAAAATGAAAGGGGAAGCATAGGTTTAAGCAGGGGGGGAATCAGCTTTTTTCAATTGCTTGTTTATATGAATAACAAAAAAAAATTGCAATTTCTTTGGCATATTTTACTTGATAACATTAATCCTTCCCAGCTGAATTATGAATTTGTCTGGTTGGCTTGAGCTGTCTTTGCTCGGGGAGGCAGAAACCAGACCTGCCTCTGCGGAATTTGATTAGTTCAATGTGGTTCATGTTATTTCAAGAGGCAAATCAGCAGAAATGGAGATCGTCATCTCTCCCTCTCCCCCCCACCCATCAAACACTGTTGCTGCCCAAGCTCCACTTCCTTCCCCATCCCACCCCCTTCTAAGGGTGGGCGTTTTACTCAGCCAGAAGGCGGGTAGTTTAGATCTACCCGAATGGCCCTATGCCGAAAAGGAGCCCAAGTAAAACACGATTTAGAATAATAATATGTTGATGGGTGTTTTTTAAGTATCATTCATTCCTTTCTCTTCTCCCTGCTTTGGGGCCTTTTTATTCCTAACAATTCCATTTTTTTAATCAACTGAAGCTCGACTCCTTGGAACCCTAAAGTTTGCCTCTATGGTTGGTTGGTAGCCAGTATACCATTCTGGCTAAAGAGCAAGGGAGAAAAAATGATTTAGATTTATACATCTTGAACATTAGTACTGCCAGTGACTGCCGTGCAATTCCAACGGTTTTAGAAGGCTGCTAAAGACGTTTAAATCTTATGCATGGCTCTTGGGTAGGGCCTCCAACCGTAAAATGTCCCTTGAAAAAGGGGGACCATCACGACCTGTTAATTCTGAAGGCCGTTTGGGGGATCCTGAAGCCACTGAACATACTTATCATTAAAATCGGCCTTGGAAAGTGAAGGTTATTGGACTGCAGAAATTCCATCCTTATCATTTGAATTATAGGCTTCCAGGGAACGGCTGCTCTGACCCTCAGCAGGGGCACTAATGGTTCCCAGAGCAATAATTTCGGAGCCTCCAGTGAGGGGCTCCCAGGTGAGTTGGGGCACCTGGGATTTAGAGGGTAGATGTGCTGATCACAGGTCTCCTTTCCATTAAAATGCCCCAAAGAGCTCTTCAGGACCAGGCATCACCCTATCAATCTTGGTCTATAATTTCATCTGATCTGAAAAAGGGCAGGTGGGGGCCAGAACCACCCCTACCCCACCCAAGAAAAATGCCAGCCCTTCACTCAAGAGATGCAAAGTCTAAGAGCACCTCACTAGGATCTTAAAATATGGCAGGGTTACACAGAGAGCCAGGCTGGTGGTTCTTGCAGTGCCAAAGAGGCCACACTTCAAACACTGGGCCCAGTTTTGGTCACCATGATACAAAAAGGATGTCGAGAGCCTGGAAAGCGTACAGAGAAGAGCAACAGAGGCCTGGGGGTTGAACCCTCTGATGAATGGCTGAATGGACAGAGCATGCCTGGCCTGTTGAAGGGAAGAAAGGCTGGAGGTGACAGCATGGCAGCCTTCTAGTTCTTGAGGGGGTGGGCTTACTCTCCAGAGCCCCAGAGAGCAGGGGAAGGAGCAATGGGGGGAAGCTTGTTAAGAGGAGATCTAACCTAGAAGGGGATTTTCCCGACAGAACAATTAATCAATGAAAGAGCTGTGGATGCTCCATCACTGGAGGCTTTTAAGAAGAGACTGGGCAGCCATTAGGGTCAAAAACAAGGCTCTCCAAACTTGGCAAGTTTAAGACTGGAGGACTTCAACTCCCAGAATTCCTGAGCTAACATGACTGGAGAAGGAAGAATTCTGGAAGTACACAAGTCTTAGAGCTGTCACGTTTGAAGTCCTCTGTTATAAGGATTCCTGCTTGAGCAGGGGGTTGGACTAGAAGACCTCCGAGGCCCTTTTCAAATATTATTCTGTGATGGGTCCACTGTGAAGTCAGCGGAACAGCTTGCCTCCAGAAACTGTGGGTGCTCCAACACTGGAGGTTTTGAAGAAGAGACCGGACAGGCCTTGGTCTGAAATGGTTACAGGTTCTCCTGCTTGAGCAGTGGGTTGGACTAGAAGACCTCTGAAGCCCCTTCCAACCTCATGATTGTATAATCTCTGGTAGAGCGGTTAAGGCACCAAGCTAGAGGCCAGCAGACCCAGAGCTGTAGTCCTGCCTCCAGCCAGGTAGGCAGGTGACCTTGGGCCAGCCACTCTCTCTCAGCCCTGGGAAGAGGCAATGGCAACCAACCTGCCAAGAAAAGTGCAGGGAGCAGCTTGGGGGGGGGGGGCCTCGGGGACCCAAACCCCCCCCCCCAAAGCATCACACAGCCAAGTCTAAGAGCACTGTGACAAACTCACCTGCAGGCAGTCTTCCGCTTACCACTGCACCGGAGCCCCAAATTCTTATTGTTAAGTGAGACATCGGTGATTTTTGTCCCCTTGTATGACTTTTCGTGCCACGCTTGTTAAGTGAATCACCACGGCTGTTGGTATCTCACTTCCCCCCTTAAATTTGCTTGTCAGAAGGTCGCAAAATCACCTGACCTCCCCGTCACTGCTGACTGTCATAAATGTGAGTCAGGTGGGTCTGAATTTTGACCATGGGGGAGGCTGCCACGGTGGTGTGAAGAAAATGGCCTGGAGTCACTTTTTTCAACGCTGCCATACCTTTGAATGGCCACTAAAACGAACTGCTGTAAGTGGAGGTTGTGATTCATTATTTCATAATTATATGTCGTTTTAATGTTTATTTTTAACCTTTTTTCCCTCCTCTTGGCTTAGATGTTAAGTGCCAGCCTCCCAGATTTATCCCCCTACAGTAAGATGGGCAGCCAGTAAATTGTAACAACTGACTAAATACAGCAAATGAAAGGAGTTACAGGGGATCCTCGACTTAGGACAGTTTGTTGAGTGACTGTTCAAAGTTGCACACTTAATGACCATGGCGGCATCCTCCGTGGTCACACGGTCCAAATTCAGAGGCTTAGCAACCGGTGTGGACTTACGACGGTCACGGGATCCCCTTCAGCGACCTTTTGATCAGCAAACTCGATGTGGGGGAACAGCAGGATTCGCTTAACAACCATGTCACCAACTTAACAACTTCGGCAATCCCACTGGCCACCATCGACTCGTATTTGTGACGGTCGCCACCCTCAGAGCAAAGCCGGGGGGGGGGGGGGGCAGCCGGATTCGCTCAGCAACCGTGACCCCAACTCAATGTCTGCAGCAACTCGCTTAGCAGCCAGGGGCCTTTAAAAGGATTGTGAGAAGGTGTGTGTGTGTGTGTGTGTGTGTGAGAGAGAGAGAGAGAGAGAGAAACCCACTGAACAGATGCCTCGCTTAGCCACAGAGGTCTGGGGGAGGGGGGGGGCTCCCTGGTGGTCGTAGGTCGGGGACTCACTCCTCTGGCTCTCTGTGTGTGTGTGTGTGTGTGTGTGTGTGTGTGTCAGGGCGACCTCCTTAAGCTGGAGTCTTTGGGCCAGCCCCCCCCCTCCTCTCAGCTCACCTCACAGGGCTGTTGTTCTTCTTCTTGTGGGGGAGGGCGGAGCATTAGGAGGCCCGTCCTGTGTGAAGAGGCGAATATCTGGAATAGACTCTCCTGCTCGGGCAGGGGGTGGGACTAGATGACCTCCAAGGTCCCTCCCAGCTCTTGTTATTCTATGATAAGCCTCTATTTAGAAAAACGAAGTCGGGGAGGGGGGGGGAGGAGTGAAGATCCGCCGCAGAAAGAAGCCGAAACCCCCTTCAAGAGACCCTCCAGGGCGGCGACCCCCCCCTCCTCCTCCTCCCCCCCGGGACCTCCCCCCCCCCTTTTTTGTCTTGGGCGGGGAGACACCCCCTCCCTTTTCGGGATCCGCCCTGGAGGAAGCAGCCTCGCCCTCCCCTTCCCCCACAAAGGCCGGCCTATCCGCCATGGCGGGGAGGGGGGGGCGGAGGGGGGGCGGAGACCCCGAGGAGGGTAAGGGTTTCCCCCACCGCAGGGAGGTACGTGGGGGGGGGGTCCCGGGGGGGGGGAGGCGAGGCGAGGCAGCCCACCTTGAGCGTGGGGTACTCCTGCACCTTCAGCGTCATGGAGAGCTGCGCCGCCGACTCCTGCACCGCCATCTTGGAACCGCCGCCGCCGCCGCCGCCGCGGCAACAGCGCCGCTTCCGGCCTCTCCCAGCAGCCCCCGCGGCCGTCGCCAGACGCTTCCGCCTCTCCTCTTCGCGCGCACGCGCGCTGCCCCGACCTTCCCCCTTAGGCCCCTCCCTGCCGCGCCTCTGCGCCTGCGCATACTCTCCTTTCTTCTCCTTGGGGGGGCGGCGAACCAATGGGAGGGCTCCTTGGAGGAGGAGACCGTGAAAGCGTTGCGTTGATTGGAAAGAGGAACGGAGGGAAGGGCGGGGTTTTGAAAGCCCCTGCGAGGGGGGGAAGGAGGGGAGTGGCTCTGGCTCGGACCGAACCATTGCACGAAGAGGAGGAGGGGGGGAGAATCTTCATCTCTCGGCCAATCCAAGGCGGAGCCCGGGAAGAGTAGGCGTGGTTCAGGAGCAAATTGCAAAGGCGGCTTTTTCGACTTTGCAAAAAAAAAAAAAAAGAAAGGAATCCAACGAGATCCCGCTTCTGTTCCTAAATCCGGCTTCCTCCCCCACGCGTAACCTCTGCATCTTGACTCCCTTAGCCTGCTTTGCGGGTGTCCCCCCCCCCCGCCTTCGCCCACAACCCCCCTTGCCAGGTAGTCCTCGACTTACGACCAACATTGAGCCCAACATGTAGGTTGCTAAGTGAGACAGGTAGATTTTTGCCCGTTTTTTATGACTTTTCTTGCCGCAGTTGTTAAAGTGGTAACCCGGTCGTTAAGTGAATCCAGCTTCCCCACTGACTTGAAACTTTCAAGAAGAGACTGGACTGCCAGCTGTCAGAAACGGTGTAGGGTCTCCTGCTTTGGGGGGGGGGGGTTGGACTAGATGACCCATAAGGTCCCTTGCAACTCTGTTAATCTGTTTAATCTGTTATCTGACTTTGCTGGTCAGACGGTCGCAAAAGTAGATCATAAGATCCCAAGACCTGGCCATGGTCATAAATAGAAGTCAGTTGCCCAGCGCCTGAATTTTGATCACATGACCATGCGGCTTGCCACAAAGGTCATAAGTGTGAAAAACGTCAGTCACTTTTTGCAGTGGCGTTGTAACTTCGAATGGTCACTAAACAAACTTGTAAGTCGAGGGCTACCTGTATTCCGATACATATTTTCCATAACACTTAGACTTATATCCTGCTTTATACTGCTCTACAGGGTTCTCTAGGCGAGATTACAGAGTCAGCATTGTTTGCCCCCCAACAATCTGGGTCCTCATTTTAACAACCTCGGAAGGAAGGACGGAAAGCTGAGTCAACCTTGAGCCGCCCATCTTTACAGTGTCGATATGAATTTTTTGGTCGTCGTGTTTCCAAGTTCTGAGTGTTGATCCTGTTATAGCTCGGTTTTTCAGCCAGGTTTTAGTTTTAGTTTCCTTTATTGTCATTGCATCTCATAAAATGAAATTAAATATCATCTTCAGTGCACATCATGATCATGAAAATAAACACAAACACACACCCTTCACACTGCACACATTGAATTGAAAACCCCTGATATTGCATGAATGTTGCAATAGAATTCAATAGAGTTCCTGCCCTGGGAGAGAAGCTGTTTTTCAGCCTGTTTGTCCTTGTTTTTATTATTGTCCTGTACCGTCTGCCAGGTGGTAATAGTTCAAAAAAAGGCTGCCCCAGGATGAGATGGATCTTTGAGGATGTCTTGAACTTTCTTAAGGTAGCAGGAGCTATAAAGCTCCTCCAAAGAGGGCAACCCATGATCCTCTGGGCAATGACATTAACCCTCTGGAGCGCTGTCCTATCTGCCTCTGTGCAACTGCCAAACCCTACACAGGTGTGTAGTAACTTAAGATACTCTATGGTGCAGCGGTAGAAGGTCACCAGCAGTTTTTCATTTAGTTGTTGCTTCCTGAGAAGCCTCAGGTAGCATAATCTCTGCTGGCTCTTTTGACCAGGGCTGCAATGTGGACACCCTCAGGTCAGGTCCTCTTTTAGGGTAACACCCAGAAATTTAAAACTGGCCCCTTGCTCCACTCGGTCTTCATTGTTAAAGCAAGGACTGGAGATCTGATCGGTTCCTTCTATAAGCTCCTTGGTCTTGTTGGTGTAGAGGACCAAGTTATTGTCTCCACACCACGAAAGCAACTGATTCTTATGGCTGGCAGGGTTTCAGCATATTCCCATGTTACCTTAAGACAGGGGTCTTCAACCTTGGCAAGTTTGAGCCATGTGGATTTCAACTCCCAGAATTCCTGAGCTAACGTGACTGGAGGAGGAGGAATTCTGGGAGTTGAAGTCCACACGTCTTAAAGCTGCCAAGTTTGAAGACCCCTGTCTTAAGGCACATCTTCATGTGTGTGTGTGTGTGTGTGTGTGTGTGTGTGTGTACACGCGCGCATGCACCTGCTGACTCCCAGCAACAGCCTGGAGACAAATCCCTGCACTTTTCTGTTTGAAACCATATTTCTTTTTTCTTTTTCATTTTTTTAATTTTATTCTACATATACACATCAATGTGCGAACAGTGTTACACCGCAGTATCATACATTTTGGTGCAAATAAATCATATCTGTTACAATCATATCTGTTACATTCATCAAACGTATGTCATTCTAACATTAACACACATATCTGTATTAAATTATAGTCTTTCATTATTTAATTGTTCAGTATTCCAGTATATTATTCTAATGCCAGTCGCAATATCGTTTAAACATACATGATAATTCCATTATTCAATCTCTAATCTTCCCTCTAATTATTGCTTTTATCTCATTATATAAAAATGTGTGTATTAATAATCCCCCTTCTCTCTTATTTCTATCTCCATTCTAATTTTTAATCATGCCACCATTATATTTAAAAAAAAACATTTTCCTTTTTGCCCCTCATCTCTTATTCACATTAATACTTTAATTCTTTTTCACTTTCATTTTAATACAAAAACAATAGTAATATTAATCATATTCGTTATATTCATCAGGCTAGTGTAATTCTAACATTAATACACATATTTATGTTAAGTTATGCTATTCCATTATTTAGTTATTTCAATGTGAAACCATTTTTCAAGAAGCGGTTTGCCATTGCAAACCGCGTGTGTGGCTGGCCCAAAAGTCGGCGTAGAGCAGGGGTGTCCAACCTTGGCAAGTTTAAGACTTGTGGACTTCAACTCCCAGAGTTCCTCAGCCAGCAAAGCTGGCTGAGGAACTCTGGGAGTTG